AATTAGAATAATATTATTCTATGTTTAAAACCATTTTTTTAAATAAGAGTAGGAAACGCTGGCCGTAATGAAATTGTAGTACAATTTATAGGCTTTGATTACCAAACAAGGGGTGCGTATTATCCGTGAGTAGAAGCATTTTCCCACACTTTTCAGCACAATTTTAGGTGTGCGTATTATGGATGAAGGCGTATTATACATAGAGAATTACTGTTTCTATAAATTGTTTGGAATCGCTATCTGAGTGAACTGCAAAGCAAGATGACCAAAGACAAAAAAACTTTCTGCTGTTTAAACAAATTAATAAAATCTTCACTTGAAAAATCCATTTTGACTTAGAGTCATCCTCATATATGTATCGTCTCCATTCAGAACCTTAGTGACCGTGTCTGTTTCCAACATCTCGTTCGTTGTAGTTGTAAGAAACTTTTGACAATTTACCATTGCAATTGGTCCCTGCTCGCTGTTTTCTAATATCAGTGTCCCGTGAGTGTTAAATTGTCCAACTCATCTTTCTTTATATTTCCTAGAAATTTCAACAATCTCTTCTCGATTTTAATTATAAGTTACATTTTAGTGCCCATTTTCTTTAAAATGTCATCATTAGTCACATGTTCTCTTCATGGAATCCTCAACATGCTTCTGTAGAGCCAGATCTTTGAGAGTCTGCTCCATCTGTGGGGAAATTGTTCGTCGTGTGCTTTACATTATTTGTTATGCTGTATAGAATGTATAAGATCTGAGTCCCCTTTTATTTATCAAAGATATTTTACTATGTCTTTCATCATTCCATTGAGACATACACTCGGTCTTTTCAATTAACCAACAATACTACTACAAAGAAAGTGGCGATCATTTCCCTTGAAGGAAAAAAGAATAAAAAATAAAACAAAGTAATCATTGTAAAGTGCTGTAATAGTTAATACTTCAAACCAGAATGCCACAACGGGGTTCGAATCCTGCGAAAAAAAAGTTATAATCATTTCCCTTGTGAGCTCTTATGAAAGGCATGAATGAATAAATTCCCTGCCGTTTTTCAAATTGCCGACATCTTGAACATTTTTTCATCAATGTATACAGAAAGAGAGACAAAAAAACATTGATGTAAAAACTCGATCCACGTTTTCTGTATTGCTTTATTTACCTTGATATAAACAGCAAATGGCATTTAACAAATATAGTTTTAGTTTTAATGATATGGATTTTCATGACGTAGGCGTTTCATGATAGAAACAGAAAATACCTTCACCCCGTTATCAAATATGGTTTTAAGGATATGGATTTTCATGGCTTTAGGTGTTTTATGGTACAAACAGCAAATACCTTTTGCCCCTTAACAAATATATTTTTATTGACATGGATTTCCAAAACGTAGGCATTTTATCGTAGAAAGAGCAAATACCTTCTGCCCGTTATCAAATAGAATTTTAATGATAAGGATTTCAAAGACGTAGGCCTTTCATAGTAGAAACAGCAAATAACTTCTGCACGTTCAAAAAATAAATTTTTAATGGCATGGATTTTCAAGGGGTTTTTGGCTCACCATTGCTTTCGTTTCTAAATTATCTAGGATTTGCTGTCTTCTTGGAAATATAGTGGTGTAGCTTTCTACAGCCTTTTCCACGATTTTGAATTCAAAATATGCATCTCTTTAGACTGGCCGCCATCCTTGGCTAAAGATCAGAATCTGGTCTACTATTTAACCCACAGCTGGAGAGAGAAAGAAGAAATTAGCTTCATGGATTTCCCAATATTAGCGCGAAAATGGATTCAAAATACTAGTTGGAAATGTGAGCTTGATTTGTAGTTTTCCCCTTTTGGCACCGAAGAGCTTTTTTTCAACAACAAATACTATATCTTTTCCAGCCTACAACTATTTTCTCACAGACGAAATATCGTAAGGCTGTCGCTATTCTATCGTTATTTCCATGGCAAGTGTTGTGAAGAGCTTCTTAAATTCGCTCCATCATCCCTGACCTTTGCCATTTTGACTGGGTACATAATGGTGATAATCCTTATTCTCTTCGTATTCCATAAGTAGTAAGTTTCACTCAAACATTATCTTACCAAGTACCGCTGCTTTTTGGAACAGATTCCCGGCAGGATATTTCACCAATACATACAATCATGACCTCTTGATGTCTAGGGGCAACAATTATCTACCCTACCTAGCTCCATGAACTTCACATATTGCTCTTTCTAAAGCTCATACAACACAAAATAGTAACCCTCCAATTTGAGTGGCTTTTGGAGAGTCTTTGGAGCCAATGTAGAGACGGTGTTAATGTATGGTACCACTGCCTGGGCATAAACTAAAACCATACAGTCTAAACTTGATGGAACCTACACTCGGATGCTGAGAGCTATACTTAACATCTTCTGGAGACAAAATCTATAGACCCATCCATGATATTTCTACAATCTTACGAAAACGCCGAATCCACTTTTCAGGACACTGCTAGTGAGAAAAACAAGAACTTGACAGTGATTTACTCCTCTGGACAACTAGCCATGAAGCAAGATGTATTGGTTGCCCACAACCACCTACATTGACCAGCTATGATATGACACAAAATGCCTCCCTAATGACTTTCCGACCTTGATGCAGGACAATGATTGTTGGCGTGGTAGACTCATGAACTCGACAGAATGAAATTAAAAAAAAAAAAAAGCAGTCAGAGAAGCAAGAAATCAGTCGGGAATTCCAGAGGCGAGAAGAACGAGAAAATAAACTGTTAGAATAAAAGAGACATTTGCATCTTGCTTGTTCATTAGTCAAACGGTGAGATCTAATTGCCAATCGAGTAGCCCACTTCAATTCAAACTGCCCAGGCACCAAGGACAAAAAAATCTTAGAAGAGTTACCATGAAAATATTTGTATATGGGCAAAGGGGAGCCATATTACGTCACTGAAAATGTGAAGCAAGTCGATATAACATATCAGGATTGTGGGGGATGAATTACTTTGCACCCGACAACTTCTTTCCAAGAGACGAAACGACGCGAGCCTCTGGCTAATCTAACGCTTTTTCCATGTTATGTGTTCAGAAGTCTTTGCTTTCACGAGCCCTCTCATTGAACTTGGGATCTGCTATGCCGCGTACACAAAAATGAATCATCCGCTTTCCCTTCGTATTCGATTAATAAGTAGTAAGCTTCCCTCTAAGGACTGCTACTTTGCGGAAAAATATCCTGACAGTATGTTTACCAAATCACTAAAATCTTGACCACTTTATCTCATCTGCAGAGCCCCATTAACTTCTTGACATCTCTTCCGCTCATAAAACACCGAACAGTAATACTCTACATTGAAGGGCTCTTGGGCTTTGCACTGGATAAACATTATTATTGTAAAAAAAGATACACTATAATATCAGTCAGTTATGTGCCAAGCGTGATAAACGCTTAGGCGATCATGTATCGAAAGATACATGAATGATGAAGTAGATTTTTTCACCGCAGTAGGTTGCATTTCTTTCTGCCGTCGACCAGTTGCCATCCAAGGCTATAGAACCTGGTTTGTCCTGCTATTTATCCATAACTGGGAGGAGAAGAATAGTATGGTATTAACACGTAAGTGAATGTAATCGATTCGACTGTAATTCGATCTCAGCTCTCCGATTCCCCAATCCAAGCCGCTATCTTTTACTCTAACGTGCCTATAAAATACATGAGCATAAAAAGCCAGTTATCAATACGGGGTGTTTGTAAATATTACTAGATACGATATTGAATGTTATTGCAACATTATCTGCCAAGGGCATATTTTAAATTCTTTCCACGTCGAATAAATTCATTTCTTAACCGCAAAGCTTCTTTTCACATTAGTTCAGGGGTTCTCTGGGGCTCTCTGCTCTCGACATACGTTGTTTCTTATCTTCATCAACGACCGTCCTGATGTCAACAGATATCAACTAGATATTCAGATGATTTTGCTGTTTTCAATCGATCGTAGTAGCCCGACAGGTTCGTTGAACCAAAACTGGCAACTGACCTCGAAAAGTACCTCCAGTTTATAGTAATATATAATACTTATTAATAATACTTGGGTAAGTGATGGCTTGTAAAATTTAATAACTCAAAAATAAAACTGCTTTAATTATCACAGAGTGTCTTTACTGCCTGCCAACAAGATGGCTGATGCTAAACTTCACGAGAGGAACACTCTATGCCTTCTTGGCTTTCCGCTTTTCTACTGACACGGAGTGGAACGACTAGATCGAGTCAATTGTTACGTTACGTCTACGGCTAGGAAAGCAGCTTCATTGTTTCGTGCCAAAAGATTTTCTCGTAAGACTCCAACATTCATATCTATATATTTACTATTCGTCCGTGCATTGGATACTTTTGCCATGCGTGGTCAAGAACTTCTGCTATATATCACAAGATTCTTGACAGAATTCAAAGAAGGGTCTGTAATGGAATCTATCCTGACCTAGCATCTCGACTTCAGCCACTTTCTCACCATGACATGACATGGCTTTCCTCTGTATTTTCTACAAATATTTTAAGGGCAATTGCATGGATGAGCGTATTTCCCTGGTGCCTTGACTACATGAAATTAGCCGTGATACTAGATTGGCTATTAGGTCTCACTGTTTTACTAAATAGATGCAACTGCCACTTTTATTCTATAGCGGGTGTCTATCCTTGACTCCCTCTCTTCATCACTTCCAAACTAGGTTTCAGCGTTTACTGTTGAACTAGCTTGATGCAATAAACATTTGTACTGTGACAGGTTCTTTTCTCCTACTATCACATGTGAAAATTCCATTCCGATTTTTTGCATCCCTGCCAACTACAATTTATAAAAATGGAAATGCAACGTCAATCGCCATCTTGTCTTCTTGACCCTGTTCCCTTATTGTCCATACTCAACTACTCATCACTAGAGTCTTTCAATTCTCTTTCAATTCATATAACCGCCTGCGTCCTAGTGGTATTTTTGCCTTGCTTAGGGTTAAACGAATAAAAAATAGATATATTGATATTAACAGACTGAGATAGATAGATAGATAGATAGATAGATAGATAGATACTAACAAACTGCGATAGTTAGAAAGAGATTAACAGAGTGCGTTAGATATGAACAGATATTTAGATGGATAAGAAAATACTGTTAAAGATAGATAAGACCGGGTATATATATAAAGTATTTAGAAAGAAAGAGATGAATACACTATCACAGATAGATAGACATGAACTGACTGTGATGTAGAGATACATAGGTAGATATGAAAAGATAGATCGATCGAAAGATACAGAGATAAAAGATGAATCTACTGTTATATATAGATATAGATAATGAACCTACTGTTATATATATATATATATATATATATATATATATATATATATATATATATATATATATATACATATGAGTGCAAATTGATGTCAACACCTAGCGGTGATAATCTGTTTCATGCTTAAACGTAATTCTTTAATAAGAATTCTTTAATTCTTTAAATCTTTAAGCAGGAAATATACCGTCACCTCATTATCCATTATGTATTTGGCCCTTCAAAAAGCGTGGATGGTTCTGCACAAAAAACTTCACCACTACAATCACATCTCATGTGCTCATGGGTCGCGCTTTCGGTTCCTAGGAACTAAACTACTTGACCCTCCTACGTCGAATTCAACGAGGGAGTCGGACATTTTATATATATATATATATATATATATATATATAATTATTTTTATTATGAGAGATTATAATAAAAACATGTAATCGATATACAAAAAATTTTCATGTTTCAATACTTTGATTGTATTTCTTCAGGCGATGGTAAGTAACTGGTGATTAAATAATTTTTAGAAAATATCTCATTTCTCGCTGACACAATTTCTGCCTATGTCTCGTATTATCATGGCATGACAAAATAACTTACCGACTCCCACCCTCTGAGCTTACATATTTATTTAGCGTGGATCTGCTATTTAATTGGTTAATCAAGGCATACCCGCAAGTCTATTTTTAATTCTGACCTTATGTCCTCCTTCGACTTTAACTTTCGGAAACTCGGTAATACACTGCGATAGATAAATAGATAGATAGATAAAAGAAATAGATAGATAGATAGATATCTACGAACACACTGAGATGGATAGATATATAGATAAATAAATAATAAAAATAGATAGATAGATAGATAGATATGTACGAACACACTGAGATGGATAGATATATAGATAAATAAATAATAAAAATAGATAGATAGATAGATAGATAGATAGATAGGTAGGTATGTACGAACACACTGAGATGGATAGATATATAGATAAATAAATAATAAAATAGATAGATAGATAGATAGATAGGTATGTACGAACACACTGAGATGGATAGATATATAGATAAATAAATAATAAAAATAGATAGATAGATAGATAGATAGATAGATAGGTAGGTACGAACACACTGAGATGGATAGATATATCGATAGATAGATAGATAGATATTGTAATATAGAAAATTAGAAAAATGTTTTATATGGAATTTTCTTTATTTGCTTTTCACTTTTGTGTTTCTTCCTAATTTCCTTATCTCTGTCTGTACCGCATTAACTTCATCTTCACATTCCGCTAATAGATTCATTGCCCATCGAGAAAACCGAATGTCACGAATTTTGTCTAGCAATTTCTTATTAGATGACTCATCACATTTTTGTTCTTTGCTTTTTCCTTTCTGGTATTTTTTTCTCTCCACGATGTGTACTTCGTTACAGAGAGGGCGATGCTAATATAAATGTCAGTTCTTTACATTTATTCCCAAGAATGAATCTTTCAAAAGAAACTGTTCTTGCTTCGTGAAATCTAGTGCCTGGAATATGGTATGAGAAAAGAACAGAAGAAAAAAAAAAAGGTCGAGTTCCTACTTTTCTTATTCGTTAGAAGCGTGAGATGGTTTTTACTCTTTGGATGTCTGACATCGGCCAGTTAAAAAAAATGCTTCATTCGTAGTATATTGGGCTTAATTGAACGTTTATTTTTTTAAAACTCTTTTTCGATGAAGTACATGGACATAATTGGCAGGCGTGAATAAACCAAGACTGCATCGTACGAAAAAAAAAAAAAAAAAAAAAATGGAAACTAATTGTTAGCTGATGTTAGTTTTTCTTTGTCCAAGCTTCCGAGCTTCTGGGTTGCGATCTTTCTTTCTTTCTTTCCGTCTTTCCTTCTTTCTTTTTCTTTTTTTTTTTTTTTTTTTTTTTTTTTTTTTTTTTTTTCTTTCTTTTTTTTCTTTTTTCTTTTTTTTTTTTTTTTTCGGATTAATTTGTAATCTACTACAATAATAACGGAAATGTGAAAAATCCGCAGTCAATTACTGATATCTCCTGACGAGTGTACAGATCGATTACAAACAGTTCTTCTGTGAAATCCCAGGATCAATCAGCTGTCAAATTTTAATTGTATTAATGATATATATATATGTGTGTGTGTTCGAAATAAAAGTATAAGACTTAATATTACGAGACATATTAAAAACGTGCGAAGCCACCGGTTTCGCTCCCGCTCTTCAGGCTTCAACGGGAGATTTAATTTAAAATTAACACAGAAAAATGTACAATAAAAAGAAGTTGTGGGAGGAAAGAATAAAAAAAATTGAAGCCTGAAGAGCGGGAGCGAAACCGGTTGCTTCGCCCGTTTTTAATATGTCTCGTAATATTAAGTCTTATACTTTTATTTCGATCATTAAATTTTGTACCTACAAAAATATCTTTGAATATATATGTGTGTGTGTGTGTGTGTGTGTGTGTGTGTGTTCGCCCATCTATAACCTCTTTAAACTATATTAATTATAACTTATAAACTTTACCTAGCTCTAAGATCTACACAACTCTCTTTCCATTAATCCCTTACATTATTTTTAAACCCGTTTTTATTCTTCGACTAGCAGCATGGCCCGGCGTTGCCCGTGCTTGATTCAAAAATCGTACGACTCATACAGCAATCGCTATCACTTGGCTTTAAATATTTTTGCCCTTCCTTACCTTTAAAGGTGTGCCCTTTGCCGTGCTGATGTTGCTACATGCCTTACTTCTTGCCTATCTCACACTGCGAAATTTTCTAAGCTCTATACTAAACATTAAATTTGTTACGAAAAAAGAACTAAACAAAATTAACACAAAACGATCAGCTTTAAAAAAGGACTCATAACTGGAAAAACCGAATGAAAAAAGTTTGTTAACAACAAATAGTTTTTCACACCCAACACAGTTCTGCGGAATCAGAATCAATGTTGAGTTTAAGCAAGAGAATGAGCAAACTGGAGTAAAGTGCCATGCAGATTTAAATTTTTCCCACTTCTGACGAATGCAGCTATCTTTTTTTTTGCATGCTAGCATGCTAGTTAACATTCGTGTCAGTCAGCTGTTGGCTCTCACGCTGGCCAAAGGAATCTTCCTGCCTATTCGTGGCAGCCAGCTATAGGCTCTCACTCTGGCCAGTACAAAATAGCCGCAAGGTACATGAAAACTGCCGTAGAAGCATGAAAAAAATCGATTATTTCCACTATCGATGGGAGTTGGGAAATGCAAAGTCTGTCTTGACCATACTGCTTACTTGGAGCATCTGCATGTACATTTTGGTGCAAATACGTCAAAAATTGCGGCCGTGCATTCGTTACACACACACACACACACACACACACACACACACACATCCATCCTTTTATAGATAGAGATTGATTTGAAATTAATATTTCATTCTTCATAGAGCACCAAATTAATGTCATAAGATATTTGGGTTTAATTTTACAATACTACTTCCCTTTAAGACAAATAAGTCCCACTATTCGCTGACCCCTGACTGAAACATTGAAATTGATAAATTCTGTATTATTTTTTCGACTGTATTTTTGTTTTTTAGCTTTGACACATAAATTTCTATTTCAGGCGCAAAATCATTCCACACTGGGGTTGATAGGACAAACGACTTCGTCTGCCGAAATAGATTATTCCCCACATGAGGTGATTTTGGGATTTTATTGTTTATTCCATATATTTCTCTGCAATAATAAATACATTGGGCTCTTTTTGTTTTAATATTTTTATTACTAAGATCTATTTCGATTATATTTCAACGCATATGTTACCTTTACTATATATATATATAGTCATCCACTGACTGTTTTGCTGTATCACATCTTGCTTCAATCTGGGATTGAACATCAGTCAGATATCTTACCAATAGACCATCCTCATACGGCAGAAAGGAAGGGAAATTTAACATTTTTCTTCTACACGAATTAGACCAGCAGCCCGGAGAACTCAGTTCGTACTTGAGGGCAATGCTTAATAGATCTAAGAGTCGCTTTTTTTTTTTTTTAAATCTTTCCTAGAGAGCTCAACTGGATTTCCTGAGCATATATATATATATATATATATATATATATATATATATATATATATATATATATATATATGTATGTGTGTGTGTGTGTATACCAGGTGTGGTACAAAAAATGTCCATCATTTAGATTAAGCTTTGAGCCGTTGTATGTTAGAAATGATTAAAGATATCTTACTGGAATTACTCGAGGTTTTTATAACACTATTTGGATAATTTGAGCAATAAGAATGTATAATTACTGTCCAAGTTTAATAGAAGGATCGTGATAAAATCGATCATAAGCGAAAAGCAGTAATTAATCATAGGATCGGAAGCTCATGAAGGGTTCAAAATAAAGTCCAAATATATATTTATTATTTCGGAACCATATCGCAACTTATTCAAGATGATCTTTACCCTCTCTAACCTCACTGTCATTGCTGGAGTAACAATGTCCTTCACAGGTTTTTCGTCCGCTTTGATTTTCAACTCTTCTTTTTTTCTCTGCTCTTTGGACTCTTATGGCTAACACTCCTCTCTCACGCGCCAAACGTCTTAGGGACAGATTTGGATATTTTCTAATTGATCCCCTTAGCTCTTGTGACTCCCTGATTCAGTTTTCCTCTCCACTTCTCCCCCTTTTTAAAACTTATTTACCGTTATTTGAAGATGGAAACCAGTGTATGAATGTTGATACAATTACTGAAGGCCTGACTCATTTTTTCGTCTCACCATTGCTCATTTGGGAAGTCAAAACAATTTTAATCTGTTCCTTTTCTTGCTGAATAACTCAAAGACAAATGGTGTCAAATGAGCTAAACGTCTTATCTGAAAACCTGAAAAAATTAATCAATTAGTTTAGTTGTTTTCGAGATATTAAACATTTTGTGGAATCGACAATTATACTGTTACACTATTTGGACAATTTTTTCTGTTACACCCGGTATATGTTTAATTGAAAACGAATGGCAAGGCATTGCTATTGATCTTTTTATTAAATTTTTCTTGCATTCAGACAAGTGATTTCTTTTCTAGAAATAGGGTGTGTAAAACTGCCCAAACAGTCTGTAGATCAGAGTGCATTTGCCTCGGATGTACAGACTAGCCATTATGAAAAATTTTTCTGTTTAACTGAATATATAGATTTTTTTGTATATATGTATATGTAGGATAGGGATATTTTAATTTCCGAATACGGCCAATACGTTGTGGCGGTGTTCATAATTTATATTGAGAGATGGCTTCTTACTTTTTTTTAAAAAGATTTCCATTATTTTTAACCGCTTTTTGAAGAGAGCTTCGATTACGAATAGTGAAATCATTAATAATTAAAATAAGCCAATTCTCAATAATACAAGTTATAAAAACGGCCAAAATATGATGACCGTGTTCAGAAATTAATATCGTTCTCATTTCTATATATTGGCACGTGAACTATGCTACATATTCAGTTAAACAAAAAGTCCTTGATAATTGTTAATGGATTATCAGGATGCGGTCACATATACATATTTTTGAATGTATTTTTCACAATGCAAGAAAACTAATAAAAAGCTTAATAACAGTTCCTTGTTAGTCGCCTTAAATAAAACCTATATAAAAGAGGGACTGTTGCACAAACAGCAAATTATATATATATATCAGAATTAACCTGCAGAAAAAAAAACACAATATGTATAAAGGAAAAAGACAATAGGAAAACTGTTGTTTTCGCTAACGCGATTCATCCAATTTTCAAGGCAAAAAAAGAAATGAATTTATTGAAACTATGTATTTGTAAACAAAAAACAAAATGTCGTTAGCAAATAGAAGAATTTAGAAACGCTATGGTATATTCATATGGTCAACTGAAAAATTATGTAAATTACTTTCTGTTTTAAGAGTAGGAAATGGCTTGTAAACTTTAATGACTCTAAAATGAAATTGCTCTCATTTACCCACCATAAAGAATACTTCCTGCCTCCTGTCAGTATGGATGATGACCATCTCCAGGAGAGCGGCTATTTGCGCCTTCTTGGTCTCATGTTTTCCACTGACCTGAGGTGGAACAACAACATTAGAATCGATAGCTTCTTCTACCGCAAAGTAAAGTTGATTGTGTCGTGACAGAAGGTTTTTCTCGCCCAAGTGGGTCCATTAAATCAACAAAACAACCAGTCATACTTGCATTGAATTCTGTTGCCATATATAGTTTAGTGCCTCTGCTGTTCACCTCGAGGTCCTCGACAAAAATACAGAGAGGGATATGCAATGTGATTGGTCCTG